AAATTTTCTGAAAATTTTCTAAAATAAAAATCCGGAATATTTTCGGAATATAATAATAATATTTTTTTTATAGGGTCTGGGAAATCGGACTGAAGTAGAAGTATTCTATGCAATAATTAAGGATTATTTTACTGAAAAAATTGTTGAAGAAAATGAAATTTCATGGACAATGGTAGAGGAAACTTGGGATGACATGTAGAACAATAGGTGGGACAAAGAGAAGTTTAATCGATATCTAGAAGATGAGAGACAACATAGAGAGTTAGTACAGCAATTAAATAACAAATTCTATGGAAAAAGAACCAGGATGACACAAACAAGTTATTACTTACCCGTTAATAGTAATAATGAACCTAATATAATGGACATCAACGGTGAGTACCAAATTGATTCGCCAAAGTGGACCGATGACGAATTGGAATTTGACAGTGATTATGAGACCCATGACCGGGTTATGTCCATAATTTCCACCTAGGTCATAATGAATACTGGTAGAACACCAACATTGAGGAAGAAATGTTTTATAGTACCAAAATTGACCCAGAAGACCACGAATAGTTGTTACCCCTGAACGTCAATGCAATGATAGATTGGGACTATTATATTAATAGTATAGAATAAGGAATCTTTAAATTCATTAAAATTAAAAATCAAAATGAAATATATAAAATAATATTAAAACCTTAAAAAAAAAAAAAAAAAAAAAAAAAAAAACTTAGCTTATCACAGACCTGACAATAGAGTGAGGTTGGTCAGGATAGAATAGGGTGAGTTGTTGGGCCCTATTCAAGAAGTTAACAATCAAGAGTTTGATTAAGATTTCGAGGTCCCATGGGGCCGTGAAATCATGTGACCCAAAAATAACAGTAGACTGAAAATATAGGAAGTAGAAAATATTAGTAACAAATAAATAAATCATAGACCCCTAGACTAAATCCAACATTAAAACCAATTCTGTCCAGGTAGTTGGTGTCCTGGCAGACAAGAGGCCAAATTCACTTAACCAAGAATAAAAGAGAATCAAATTTACCGAAGCAGCTTGCCTGAAGAAAGAAGAGGAAATTCGATCCTACAATTTTAGTATTGAGATAAACCACGTGAATCCAAAATTGTATGCCATATCTGAAATAGGTCAAACAGATTTAGCAATAAAAATTTGACTGAAGCTTGGAAACGGAACTGAAAAAGATGAATGTAATTTAGTAAAACTAGAAGGAAGAGAAACACCGCTAGTACACAGACAGCAAGATAAAAGCAATAACTTATCTAAGGACAAACTTAAGACATTTAGTTATTATCGAAATTGCGAAAATTACGATCTAAATTTCAGTAACAGGAGAGAGGCCCAATTAGTAAACAAACAGTAAAAAGTGAAAAGTGTAGAAAATCACAGATAGCTAGATACGAAATAAATTCCAGGTTGAAAAGACAAGATCTGAAAAACTAGAAGATTAGTACCAAAACAATAAGCAAAGGTGACAGGTAAAACAGATCGAAGCAAGTAGTAAAACCAACTTACCCCAAACCCAAATTAGAGTCCTCAAACCTGATGTTAAACCCAAATCCAGTCCAGGTCATTGGTATCTTGGCAATAATTGAAAGAATTAGTAAAAATAGATCCACAACAGTATATCTCACTGAAAAATTACTTACAATATAGGCATTACCCATCAAACTACCAAAAAGACCAATGGCGCAAGTTAGAAGTACAGAGCAAATTTTTTATGGTTAAAGAAGGCCTTTTATATAAAAAGGATCGCCAAAATCAAGGCAACTTACTAAAAGTACTGCAAGATGGAGAGATTGAACCGATAATGGCCATGGTCTATGATCATCCCATAGAAGCCTATTTTGGGACCATAATAATGTTTAATAAATTATACAATCAATATTATTGGCTCTGAATGTATAAAGATATTGAAGAATATGTTAAAATATGTATGAGTTATAAATAGCAGAGTAATCGTAAATCAAAGGAGCTATTACACCCAATATCTGTAGTGGTCCCATTTCATAAAATAGGAATAGACATACATCAGCAAATTATATAAATGTAATCTTACGTAAATTATTACAGACCGAAAAATTTCGCAATAATTACGATCACGTGAATATTTCGCAATTTTTAATTACAGAATATTACGAAATATATTACACTATATTACAAAAAAAATTTCACAATATTTCGAAATAATTTGCAATAATTCGAAACTCAAAAAATAAATTAGCTATAAAACTAGAATAAAATAAATATATTAATTAAAAAATGCGAATTAATTCAGGTATATTAAA